TCCAAATCTTAGCATAGCAATGTCTTATGCTAATTTATCTGATGTCTTGGAACTGAGAGTTTTGACTCATGGTTATGAGTATAAACCAGGATCTCCACCATTCTCTGTTCATTCCAGAATATACCTTAAGGTTTTAACTACCTTAAATCCTTACACCCGTAAGAAGACTACTACAGGACAAATAGTGTTGATAGACACTAATCTTTACAGTAGCCAAGTAGCAGTCCCTAGGTTAATTCCTTGGAAGGATATAACCTTTCCAGAAAGATGGCATATTCCCAATGCTGTTCCAGCAAAACCTATCATTCGTCAAAATCTAGATGATGTAATTCAGACACAAGGAGGAAATGTGTATATCCAATTTCAGAAACCTCCACAGCAGCTGATCCGAAGTAATTCTTCTAATGCCAGTTTTAGAACAGCTCCTCGAAGCTTTTCCAACAACAGTTTCCGTTCTGCTCCTCCTTATCGAGTGGATTTACCAGAATCCAGTAGGCAATCTGTAGTTTCCCTCATACCAGATAGACCTCCTAGTGGAGCACCTAGTGATCCTAATGAGGATCTAATGATTTCAGAAATACAAGGTATTAGGATATCTAATAATCAAATACCACATGGTGTCTATACGACCCCAGCACCAGATAGCCCAACGGCCAGTGACATGAATTTTGAAATCTAATGGATTTTACACCAGGAAGTGCAAATCGTAAGTATTTAAACCAGGAATTTCTTCAACCTCAATATCCGAAATTTAGGACATGGTATTTTGCAAACCATGCGTCTCAACAGTTACAAGAATACAAGACTCAGTATTATCAACACCTTGAATTATATCAGAAATTGATACCTTTTGTAGAATGGTATAATACAGTATTTAGTTCCCAGTTACATATATTAGAAGACCAGTATAAGACGTGGACTACAACTGAAGGACACGTCATCCATGCCCTTCATCCACCACCCCAATCCTTAGAATGTAATGCCCTTTGATCTTAAAAATACTCTATCAGAATTTCAACATATCATGAACGATATTTTTACTCCTTATACAGAATTTTCTTTATCATATATTGATGAAGTTTTAATATTCTATTCATCAATTGACCAGCATCTAAAACATCTTAATATTTTTAAGAATGTTATTATCAGAAATGGATCTACTGTTGGGATTGTTCCTTTGTCTAAGGCATCCTTTACGTCCTGATAGGCAACTAATTCAGTTGCTTCGGCTAGGGAGGTAACAGTATTACCTACAGTTGTTACTGATTCATTACCTGTTGGTTCTACTGGTGTTTCATTAGTAATTTCTGTCATGGATGTATTATGATCATATATGCCTAATTTATTGAGTTTATAACCATATTATGTATATAATTAAACATGGCTCTGATACCAACTAAGGTGCTCACTAAAGGTTTTGGGCTAGCACGTCTGTCAACGACTTACAGGTGTAAATGGTCAACATGCAATCCCTGCTATACGACCTAACCCTCCGCGACTTGGGTGACGTCCCACTAGCCTTCACAATTAATTAACCTTACATTAGCACAAACCCAAGAATAGTCATATGCATAATATGTAGATAAACACAATAAATTACAACATATATGATCCCATTAGTTTACTGTTAAGGAGGTGGAGACCTTCTGACCGCCCACGCAACTATCTGTTCGTTAATCAGAGTCTGTAATTCTGCTATATGCTGATTACATTCTGATATACGCTCAGATATATACGGTTGAGTATAATAATCTACAAGTATATTAAGATAATAATTTTTCTGTTGTTGCCAAAACTGCAGAAAAGATAATAACTGTTCTAAAGTATTAACAGAGAGCATGCATACTTACAACCATGGAGAGTGCACACAAAAGCTTGATATTATTAATGGAGGAAGTACTACTATTTTACAAGAGGGGGTTGGAAGGATTACAAGAGAGAAGAGAAATTGTAAACATAAAATACAGTCTGTCTCAACAAGGGTGAGACCATCCTTATTTATAATACAAGGAAGATAAGAGAGAATTGAACAAGTGGATAGGTGTCTGTTACTGACTGGACCGACAGATACACCTTATCCTTATCCTTATCTTCAGCTTTGTCGAAAAGTGGAGCAAAAATTTCCTTTTGACTGGTAAAGGGCATCTTCTTTTCCTAAAGTTGTTTGTCTGGTAGTGCCGACACTTGACACAATTAATGCTCTGGACCCTTGCCTTTACCTTTAGTCATTCTTTCTGCAATTACAGCTGTTAGTGAGTACCAAAAGTCACCAAGGTTGGGCTCATCTTCTTCTGGAAGCTGTGACTCTCCTACCAACACGTATTCAGCTGGATCATTCTCTGGTTCTGATGCAGTCTGACTGGTACCTGATCTCATGGAAGCATCATCTTCTTGGCTAACTGTTTGGAGGAACTGTTCTTTCAAAAAATCCATACTTTTGATTACTAATTCATGTTCTGAAAGATGAGGAAATTACTGTTTTAATTCCTTTTGAATTTGGAGAAAATGATTACTAGATAATGCTGGTGATGGAGCAGGTAAAGCAGGCTACTTGACAGATTCCCAGCATGTTTGGGTATGTTGTTGTATTTTCTGGACAGTTTCTGTTAAATTAGGGTTCATGCCCTTATCCCACCATTTTACAAAAAAAATTCTTTTAAGGCGGTGAACCTTATTCTGGTAATCACAAGCGAAGCCCCATTTCCATATCCATACCAAAGCGGATAATAAAATGGACTATTGACTTACTGATAGAAAGATCTCTGTTTTTATTCAAATAGGAATATGCTCGAGAATAAGCAATATTCCATTCATTGAATGCAGTTCTAATGGGTTCTGGTAAAATATCCAATGAAAGTCCAAATTTATCCCACCAAACGAGGAACCAATTAGGGACATCGTTTTAAAGGACATCGGGGCAAATACGGATAAACCAAGAATGATTCTTCATAGGATTCTAATAATAGAAAACCTGGGTAAATGCATCAACATAATCCCAGTAACTGTATTTAGTTTGTTTATTACGCAAGTCAATGTCACGAATGATATGCGGATGGATGCCCCATGTAGAAATGGGCATAATATTGCGGATAACAATTTTACTGAATTGGATGGGGCTAGTTGTTTTGTTAGCATCATGAAGAGTGGAAGGCCATCAACAAATTTAGCCTTCCAGTAGGATATTTGGTTATTATGCCTATCAGGACGTAAATCAAATGGTATGTATATATACATAATATGGTATGTATATATACATAATATAAATAAATAAAATTGCGGCACTAACCACAATAGCTTCAACAACCAGCTACAAAACTAAGTAAAATGATAATGTTCTCATAATTTAATAAATAATTTGCTAAAAAGTTAGCAATTCTCACACCTCACTGTCACCGATGCTAAATAAAATAATAAAAGGGTTCCACCATAATTGAAAGAGTTAGCAATTTTCTATTAAAAATAAATCTTAATAAAATTGTCACTAAAAATAATTTTTTTCCATCTCTGAAAATTGACAATTAGTAACTTTTTTTTATTATGATTTTTATAAATTATCGCTAAAACTTACAATTAACAACTTTTTTATAACAAATTTTTCTCATAAAACCAATAAATCCACTTATTAAAACTCATCCGTAAGGACCCCTATCATTAACACAACAGATTAGTCATCATTAAAAAATGATTCATAAGGCCATCTCCAAAGAATATTTATAAGTCCATCTCTAACTGTGTACTAAACACATCACCAAATTCAAATTTGATAGAAAATATCCATTTTTTCTACTCCAATGACTTCATAAAACAGATATCAAATTGAAAAAACCAAAACTATAATAAAAAATGTTTGACCAATCTGAGAATACTTTGTCTTTTATCAAATCACCGTTCATTGCCGTCATTTTTTTACCACCGGATATCCTCCTGTGACCACCTCAACAAAATTTTGTAAAAATTTTACACTGACATCCTGATCGTCAAGTGATTTGATGAAAAAACAAAACTCTCCGTGAAAGCAGGTGATATCAAAAATATTTTTTACCAAAGATAGCATTGAAGTTCGTTTAGATCTATTATTTGTAAAAAAATTTCGTGTACAGAAATAAAGAAAGAAAACCAAATCAGGTAGAACCTAAAATTTTTTAGTATTACCTTTACCTACCCCTCTTTCTCTACACAAATACCTACTCAAATTTTTATCCAAAACAGTTACAAAGACCAGACAGATTCCTAATTCTTGTTGAGTAAAGAAATACCTCATTGTGGCATTGGGATACTTTAGCAGACACGGCGTGTCAGAAGCAAACTCTAGAAATCTATCTCACACGTGAGATGATCCAATAACACTTCCAACTCAAGCCTCGTGGGGATCAGCACCGCAACATATGAAGTAAATACAACAAATGGCAAACACAAGCAGATATACAATGTTGAACTGCACGCTATACTTCCTACAACACCCTGGGGTAAAATTAAAAAATAAAAATCATTATAGCAAAAATTGCAATTTGCAATATCAGATAGTAACTGTCCAGCTAGTTCAGTGTATAAAACTACAAACAATTTATTCTCTACAATCAATGTGACAATTTTCAATAATAGAGTTCACACATACCCTCAAGAAATACTAGTATTAAGGACTCCAACATCTGCCAAAAAATAGTGAACACCACAAAATCTACACTGGAAGAATCAAGATTTGAATTAGACATGCTCAACCCCAAAGTCAGAGCCAATGCAATTCAAAATCTGTCACGTTAACTAGAAAAACTACACAGCACGAAAATTCCTTCAAATAAAATTCAACCTCTCTCCAGCTAGCACAGCAGAGTCAAGAATCTTTACTCTGCGCAACACTGAAAACAAAATCCATGACCCACATCTGAGATTTAAAGTCACAACATGCAGCCACAATTCCTTTTTTGCAAAACAAAATCCTTGAACCCACATCTGAGATTTAAAGTCACAACATGCAGCCACAATTCCTTTTTTGCAAGGCATGAATTTATTCCTTCAAATAAAATTCAACCTCGCTCCAACTAGCACAGCAGAATCAAGAATCTTTACTCTGCGCAACACTGAAAACAAAATCCATCAACCCACATCTGAGATTTAAAATCACAACATGCAGCCACCACCAACCCTTGAGCTTTATACTGGTTTACAATTGACATTTTTACTAAATTACAATTACAATTGACATTTTTACTAAATTACAATTACCCATAAGGGACCAACCATCCAAACCACCACACATTCCAACCCAAACCGTAACCGAAAACACAAATATAAACCAGCCCATGCACATCATCCCAGTACAACTGAACCTCTCTAGAATTACATCATGTGCACAATTACACTATCTGAACCAACAATCTTTGACATTTGAACCATCTACAATGCTAAGTGTACTTACAATGGGGTCATTCTAGAATACAGACCCTTACAATATACACATTTTTATATTATCATAAAAAGTTGTTTAAAATGATCTAAATAAATATATTTTTTAACTTTTTATGAAATATAAATTAAATATGTATTATGTATGAATTGAATTTAACATAATATAATAGAAAAGTAATGTAACTAAAATAAAATGATAGGACTTAAATAAGATAGTAATTTTTCGACTTTTTAACTTTTTAAAATTATGACAACAAGGCCTAAATGTCATAACTAAATCCTTTTCAACCATAACTTCAGAAAAATAATGTCACAGCCAAACACCACATAAAAACCAAAATAATAATCATTGTAAATCATAACCACCACAGTGTCTAATCACTGCCAATCATCTCTTCCACACATTGCATCTAGAAAATAGGTACCCAATGGACATCTATATCATTTTCCTAATCACAACAGGTCATAAACACCAGTCATGACCAAGTTATAACATAGGAGGTAACCAGAAGACCAAAAAATCATGATTGGGCATATGGTGTATTATAAAATTTTCTCTTCAACAAATCAACAATTTTGGGCTTACAATTTTGGGCTTATGTTAGATATTACTTGGATTTTATAATTGAAAAATGTAAACCATCAACAATTTTGTAACCAGAAACAAACTTATTGATTAAATTTTGAGAATAAAGATTAGCTTTCCAAGTGAGATGGTAGATTCAGACATGCTCGAATTTAGTGCTGATTTTATGCAATAAGCTTAATTAATAGGGAAATTTCATTTCAGGGGTGGTTTTAAAAACTGAACTTCATAAATATTAATACTTAAAAATATGAACTTTTCATAAATCGGTAATAATTTACTGAAACTGTCAAAATAATCTACCAAAAGTTTTACCCTACACGCCAACGTCAACGATAAAACATTTTGTTGATAAATTATTTGGTGCCTCTAGCATTACTCGATGCATAATTTCCCCTAATTAACAACTCATGCAATAATTAGTGCCAAAATAAATTAAAGGAAATTGTTTGTTTGTACCTCTTGGACTGAATAGTCATGATGTGCTAATCCCATCCTTGCGTTTGCTTGCTTGATGAATACAAATAGTTGGCGCGTTGATGTCCCTATTTGTTTCGAATCGATGTAAAATCATCCATTCGAGAGACAAATAAAGACACGATGAACAACTGATTGGATTGGAGAGAGAATTGGGGAGGACAAAATCAAGAAAAAAAAGACGCAACACACAAGAAGGGGAGAGCCGGGCAAAACCCCGTACCATCTCCCCCTCAAACACAAAAACAAACTTTTTATTAGGGTTTTTTTTTTCTGCCAAGCAAGCGCACCTGACATGGCAAAGGTCGATTGACAACCAGTAGAACATTACACATCTCACATTTTTTTTGTTACCCTAGGCTATACCTCTCTGGTATACACCGAAGACACACACACACAAACTATCTTCTTTATTATACCAAGAAGATGACAAAAGAAAGCACATCAAAAAAAGCATAAAGAAACACTTTAGCAATCCTTCACAGCTTCATATCAAAATCCGATCTGAATCCATAAAGAATCACGAGATCTGAATTGATTGCACCGATCTAACCAAGCGTTTTAGACCTGAAAATGAACACAAAAAGTTGAAAAATTAATAGATCTGAACCCAAGAATTACGATACATACGAAATTGTCAAAGGCTGTAAATACACACCTCAAGAATTTCAGAAAGACAGCAAGGATTCGCATCGAACCAGACGAACAAAGCCCGAGCACTAATGGTTCAGAACAAACATTAAGAACCTTCAAGAAATGGAGGAGAATACTTAATTACGTGCAACGAAAACACTCGAATCCATATCTCTGAATCGAAGATCGGAAGCGAATCGCTCAACGAAAACACCCATGGCCGAAGAAAGGATGAGTCTTGAACCACATATCTCTGAATCGAAGATCGGAAGCGAATCGCTCAACGAAAACACTCGAATCCATAATCAAAAAGCAGATCGTCGAACGAATTCAAAGCTAAGAAATCAAGGAGAAGAGATCTAACGAAAACGGGGTAATGGAATTTCACGGTGAGAAAGAAACTGTACAAGATAATGAAAATGTACATAGATTGAGAAGGGGGGGTGATTTATTAATTGTCCCGAACGATCCAACGGCTGTCAATGAATGAGTTGCGAAAAAATCAACAGTTAATAGGGGTTGGCAAAAGATCGACGCTCTCGTCATTTTTACGTGAGAAGATTCTCGATTTCCTTCAACTTGAACGAGATAAGCTTGCCACGTGTTTCATCGTGGCTGACATGGTAACTCGTTAATGTGAAATGAGAAATAATCACCTTATTTGTTTTCAATTTTTAAAAAAATGCTTTTTAAAAAAATTTATTTTCTTATTTTTTATATTTTTTTAATATTTTAAGTATTTTTTTGTTTTAACACACTTAACATAAATACACCTAAAAAGTAAAAAAAATATAAATTTTTTTAAAAAAAAATTCACTAAATACCAAAAATATATAAAAAAAAAATACAAGAATTCAACATATTTTTTATATTTTTATGTATTTATTAATTTTTTAAAATATTTGTTCATAATTTTTTTTTACTTTTTAGATACATCTAAATAAGGCGCATCTAAAAAAAGTAAAAAAAATGTTTAGAATTTAAAAAATATTCACTAAAAACAAAAAAACACGAAAATCAAAAAGTCAATTTTCAAAAAACTTAAACCAAACACACTGAATGGTATGTATGAAAAAATAAAAAAATAAAAATTGTAAATAGTGTTTGATAGAGTTTTTTAAATACGATTTGAGAATAAAGTTGTATTTTTAAGTTTGTGAGTTTTGGAATTATGATTTGAGCGTAAAAAATTTGTTTAGTTATAGTTTTTTAATAGAGTGTTGAATTGAGTTTGAAAATATTAATGTGACATGTGAAATAAGAAAATTTGTTTTGTTATGAGTTTTGAAAAGAGTTTTTAAAACTTAATTCAAAAGGTTATAACTCATAATCAAACACACAACTTAAACAGTTTTTAAAATTCAATTCAAAAAATTAATTATTAACAAAAAAAATTACTGTTAATCAAACTCTTTTTAAAATTCAATTGAAAAAATTAATGATTAACAAAAAAATAGTAGTCATACCCAAAAAATTTCAATTTCAGCTCAAAAAATTAATTATTAATAAAATTTTTAAAATAAAAAAAATTTGTATTGAAAATATTATAAACAAAATAATTTGAAAGTCACAATAAATATTGAATTACTGATCAAACCGAACTTATGATTGTATATTTGATTCGAATTATGTTTTTTCCAATATTTTTAAGTTCAAATATTTTTATATTTTTAATAATTATTGTCATCAATCATTTGCTATTTATTATTTTGTTATTTTCAAATAAATAGCCATAAAATTTATCAATATTGTACATATTGGGAGTCAAACAAAAATTAAAATATCATTTGATTAGTATCTACATAATTTACAGCACATAATTCAATATTATTAGAATTTTTTCATTTGTTAAATTTTATCACTTTTGTGGAAAATCCGTGAACTTGTACCATCCTCACCTTCATTATTGTGCCTCACCCGTGAACTTCTGTACCACCAATATTATTATGCTGTTGATTGATGTGTTTGGCATTGAAATGACTAAATTGCCCCTCTGTTATGGAATGCTAAATTGGTATGTTAGTAAAAAATGAAAAGGGCAACATTGTAATTTCACTCATGTTTTGCAGAGCCATCACTCCTTTGCAAAACCTCAGTTGGTCAGTTTCTGATAATAATAAAAAAAAAGCCCTCAGTTACAAATTTTTTGGCCATTTGTTTGACTGAGGCTTTTATATCAGCGAGCACATCCAACAACTTTACGTCACAACTTTCAGCAACTTTTTCGCCATCTTCATTTACCTTCATTATTCAAATAATATCAATACAACCAGATCAAAGACCTGAAACATACAACCACCTCCTCCACCACCTACCTCAATTAATTTCACAAATTTAGTCCACCACATACGTCAATTAATTTCACAAATTCAGTGTATATATTTACAACTCATATTTGTTTAAAAGAAGAGAGAAAAAGTTTTGATCAGAGATTCACAACACCAAAGCTTCACAATTTTAGAGCTACAGAAGTAACAGTGGAAAAGTTCACCAAAACAGTTAACCAGGCAGTCAACTAGTGGGTCATCCAGCAGATCAATCGGTTGCGCTTGTTCCCAGTTTCCATCAAGACTTAACTTGAGGCTGAGCTTTGGCTATCTGTTGCTTATCTTTTGCACACTATTTCCTCACAGTAACAGCCGAAACCTTCCATACATTTTTCTTACCTTTTGTTATCATTTTGCTTACCTTCATAAGTCATGCCAAGAACCAAAAGAGTCAGACTAGAACGTGGCAAAACCTCTAACCCTTCACCACGGCAACAATAGTAGATTTATCCAACTATTGATTTTCTCACATATAATCATGAACAAGCTTATCCAAATTTTTTCAACCGACCAATTGTTACCAAGAGAAGGGTAAATCTTCATTCTTAATATGATCCTCTGTTGGTTGCCAGACTGGAGACGATGGGATGGCTACCTTTAATCAATTTACCACAAAAGGTATATCCACGTCTTGTGTATTTATTTTACCTTCACTTGAAACTTACTGAGGGAGAAGTTGGAGAGAATAGTTTGACATCTTATGTCAAAGGTAAAATAATCACACTGAACAACCACACTTTGACACAAATTATTGAAGTTCAACTAGAGGATTTGCAAATTCATTTTTAGAGTGAGTCTGACCTGGTTAACATTGTTGGTGATATAAGTGAAGTTTATACTACAATTTGTGAGAACTGATTTACCGGCAGTAATTTACAAGCAAGACATTTGAAACCCTATCTTCATATTATCCATCAATGAATAGTCGAAAATGTCACTCCAAAAAAAGGATATTTTGGTGATGTTCTAATTTACAATGCTTATTTTTTATATTGTTTTGAAGTTAGACAAAGATTGGATTTATGCTACATAATATTGAAGGTAATGGTGGTTGCAAATCTTGGTACTCTCAGTAGCCGGTCAATACCTTTTGGAGCTTTGCTAACCAAAATTTTCAAAGCTTGTCATGTCAGACTTGTAGGTGAAGCAGAGGTGAAAATCACCTCACCGATTTCAAAGTATACACTAACCCGAGCTGGTGGCGTTAAAAACTTATTGGGATCCATTAATGTTGCAAATGCACCAATAGATGATGCTCGCGAAGACTACAATGACAATGACAATGCCATGCCAGAAAATAAACAACCCCAATACTAGATTGATTATTTGGCGCTGGAAGAAGAACGACACAATCAGCGCGTTCAATAGGAACAACAAATGGCTAATCAGTTCAATGCATTAGGTAATCGGTTCGATGCATTTGCTGCTACTCAGAACTCATTAATTCAACAATTTGGTGAGTTTTTTCTGGACACTAAAAGACGTGATGAAGTAACAAGCAATCGCATTGATCATGTCATATCTCAAACCCGCCCCTAAAAGTTAGGGCATGACCACTTCAGAAACGGACACTTAACCTGATATATAATATAGGGGCCTGAACGGAAGCATTGATATCTACTATTACCATGCCAGGATCACATTGCAAAAAGGAGATACACATTAGAGAACTAGTTATAAGCATATACAGATCCAGCCCCCAAGTTTGGGCGTATAACAAAACATTATGTACATTTTCTCCTAAGTCAATAACTAGAATGTAAGCCATCATCTAGCAAAACACCACAAAAATGTACGGCTTCGACCCAGTGCCTGGTTATACTTAGGCTAACAAAAGTGTGACGGTGACAGGGCTAGGAGCGACCCCTAGGTTGGTTACTTACAGAAACAGACATAACATAGAGTGAGTCAGGCTCAGTGAACAATAGTACTTAAATGCTTCAATATTCAATTTAAATTGTAACACATTTAAAAGTGTAAGTATTGTAGAAATCATATAGTTAGTTTGATTCTGTACAAATTTGCAGAACGACCTTGTCAGTTCACAACCTCACAGATTGGCCCTTGGCCTGATGGGTTCACACATTCACAAATTGGCCCTAGGCCTCATGGATTCATAACTTGGATTCATAACTTCACAAGTTGGCCCTCGGCCTCATAGATTCATATTTCACAAGTTGGCCCTCGGCCTTATAGATTCATATTTCACAAGTTCTTTTGTTGTTTCCATAATTTCACACTGTTTCTCAATTCCATAATGTCACACCGTTTCTCGAGTAGCACACATGTTAACATAAGTTCTTGGGAAGAACATAGCGTCAATAACAATAATAATTAACGTGATTAAGATACATCGATAGTACTATTACTCACTGTGTTGCTGCGGGGCACTAGTTCCTCCCGAAGTGTGTCCCGCACACATTCACAACTTGTAGGTTAGTTAATTCTTTTTTGTTGAGTTAGTTCCTGATGCATTCCACTTCAAACAAATTTACAAACATCAGTAGGCACAAAATACAATTTCTAAAAATATCCGAGGGTCGAGCACGCAAAATGGAGTGAACCATTTTTTATAGCTTAGGCCGTACGTGCGGCTGTGAGCCCCGCACGTGCGGCAAAGGGTCCCGCACGTGCAGCAGTGACGCCCTGCACGTGCCTTTTTAGTAGTGTTCAAGCCCAAAATTTGCTCCAATTCCCGCACGTGCGGCCATGACTCCCACATGTGCGGCCAAGCTTCTCGCACGTGCGGCCATGACCCCCGCACGTGCGGCGATTCTAGGTAATTTCTGTCCGAAATTCACTAAAAACCCTCCCTTGATACACTTATGGTAAGACACAAGTAAACAAATTTGGTGCATTATAATGGTTCAATAACACCATAGCATGCATCAAGAATGTAATTAAGATCATCACTTCCAATTTCACATGCACAACCCATTCTTTCCATATATTTGATCTTAACTATCTACTTAGATATATAAATCATCATCTAGGTATGTAAATAACTTCCACACAACAAGAAACTCAAGAGAAAAGAACAATAACACAAACTTGGAATTTCCAATACAACCACAAACACAATTAGATAAGAGGATATATACACACTCTTGATCTCCATTATAACTTCAACTTGAATATTGTAGAGAATCTCTCAATAAATTTCCAAGAAGCTTAGCAAAACAAAGAATACATACCTTGAACTTCAAATCTCAATAGGTCCTCTTAATTCACCCAATCTTCCACTCTTGCTAGGTTTCTCTCCTACCTTTCTACCTCTCATCTTCCAATTTCCATACAAAAGATACTTAGATTCTTTTTTCCATCTTTTTGATCAAGAGGCATATATATATATATAATATAAAAGAAAATTACATAGGACAAAAATTAATCGTTTAATCATCCTAAATTGAAATTTCACAGAAATGCTCATTATTACTTAAAAATTATGCTAATTCCAATTGTATAATCAATTTTGGATTATCCAATCTCTAAGGCTCTCAATTTCTGAGTCAAACATTCCAATTGTGACAGATCTTTTCCTTACTAGACAGATAGGCTCAATTCATAAGTGTCATGTACTTACACTTAATTTCTCATGAAATTTTTCATTAAGGATTAAAATGAACAGAATAAGAGACTAAAAATATACCAGAATCACATACGAGGGTCGGGTTATTACACTCTCCCCTCCTTAGATAAGTTTGGTCCCACAAATTTGCTTTACCTTAAAACGGAAACAGATACGGATATTGGTGTTGCATTTCCTCTTCTTTTTCCCCAGTAGCCACGGTTCTGTAATGTTCTTGCCACTCTACTTTTACCATTGGAATTTCTCGATTGCGTAACTGCTTTACTTGTCGATCCAAGATTCGAAGTGGTTTTTTTTCATAGCTTAACTTATCATCCAACACAATTTGGTGGTAATTTATGACATGAGATGGATCTGAAAGGTATCCCCGAAGCATAGAGACATGGAACACGTTATGTACTTGGCTCATACTCGGTGGGAGGGCCACTCGGTAGGCTACCGGGGGCACTCTTTCTAGAATTTGAAAGGGACCAACATACCGGGGTGTTAACTTACCCCGTTTCCCAAATCTCGGATGTCCTTTCATTGGGGTGACCTTTACGAACACATAACTATTCACTTCAAATTCTAAATCCCTTCGTCGGTTATCCGCATAACTCTTCTGTCTACTTTGGGCAGTTTTCAGTCTTTCTCGAATAATCTTAACCTTTTTAGTTGTCAACTGCACGATTTCAAGCCCTAGCAATGATCTATCTCCAATTTCGGCCCAACACACAAGGGAACAACACAGTCTCCCATATAGAGCTTCATAAGGTGCCATCTCAATACTCGAATGATTACTATTGTTGTATGCAAACTCTACCAGCGGTAGATGGGTTTTCCAACTTTCTTGAAAATCTAGCACACACATTCGGAGCATATCTTCTAGAGTTTGTATTGTTCTCTCGGATTGACCGCCAGTCTGTGGGTGAAAAGCTGTGCTGAACTTTAATTTTGTACCCATTGCTTCCTGTAGACTTTGCCAGAATCTCGAAACAAACTTTGGATCCCTATCTGACACAATTGAGACCGGAACACCATGAAGCCTGACAATTTCATTCACATAAATTACCGCAAGTTTATCTACATTATACTGAGTCTTCACTGGAAGGAAGTGAGCGAACTTAGTTAACCGGTCTACAATGACCCATATAGAATTCATACCTCGAGGAGTCCATGGTAACCTCACTACAAAATCCATGGTCAAATGTTCCTACTTCCATTCCGGGATTGGAAGGGGTTGCAACAACCCTGCTGGTCTCTGATGTTCTGCCTTCACTTGCTGACACTGTAGACATTTAGAAACGAATTCTGCGATCTCCTTTTTCATACATGGCCACCAAAAGTTTTGTTTCAAATCACGGTACATTTTGGTACTTCCCGGGTGCATCGAAAACCTCAAGGTATGGGCTTCTTCCATTGGTTTCCGTTTCAGTTCCAACACATTGGGGACACATATTCTATTTTGAAACTTGAGCACTGAATCCACTAAACTGAACCCCGGTTTTGGTTTTGTCTCCAACTCATCACATATTTTTTGTAGTGTTTCATATTCTATTTGACGTAGTTTGATCTCTTCAAATAAGGTTGGTTGAGCTATCATCGCTGCTATTATGACTTCCTGTCCACGTATCACAAGATCCACATCCATTTTAGCTAATTCAATCACCAACTCCTCTTGCTTCGTAAATAGATTTGCCAAATCTCCCATATTTTTCCGACTAAGCGCATCTGCAACTGTGTTGGCTTTACCAGGATGGTAATGAATCTGTAAATCATAGTCTTTAATCAGCTCTAACCAGCGCCGTTGTCCCATATTCAACTCTTTTTGAGTAAAAAGGTGCTTGAGACTTTTGTGATCGGTATAAACTTCGCAAGTAGTGCCATACAGATAATACCGCCATATCTTCAAAGCAAAAACTACTGCTGCTAGCTCAAGGTCGTGTGTGAGATAATTCTTTTCATGGGGTTTCAGCTGTCGAGAGGCATAAGCGATAACTCTTCCATTTTGCATAAGTACACAACCAAGCCCTTTATGCGAAGCATCACTGTAGATTACAAACCCTTCGGTACCGGATGGTAAGGGTAGAGTTGGTGCTGTAGTCAATTTTGTTTTCAACTCCTGGAAGGCAAATTCCTGCTCTTCTGACCATTCAAATGCAACTCCCTTTCGAGTTAATTGTGTAAGCGGTACAACGATTTTGGAAAAATCTTGAACAAACCTCTTGTAATAACCGGCTAATCCCATAAAACTGCGTACCTCAGTCACATTGGTAGGAGTTGGCCAATTCACGATCGCTTCAATTTTGTGTAGATCTACAGAGACTCCATCCTTTGTTATCACATGGCCTAGAAATGCTACCTCATGTAGCCAAAATTCACATTTCTTTAGTTTTGCATATAACTTCTTCTCTCGAAGTGTTTGAAGAATTAGTCAAAGATGATTCTCGTGAGCCTCTGCACTCTTTGAGTATATAAGGCTATCATCAATAAAGACTACCACAAACTCATCCAAATAAGGCTTAAAGACACGATTCATTAGACCCATAAATGTTGCCGATGCGTTAGTAACTCCAAAAGGCATAGCCAGAAATTCATAATGACCATACCAGGTTCGAAAAGTTGTCTTTTCCACATCCTCAGCTTTGACCTTCAATTGATGGTATCCAGACCGTAGATCAATTTTTGAGAAAACTTATGCCCATTGTAGCTGGTCAAATAAATCGTCAATTCGTGGTAAGGGATACTTGTTTTTGATTGTTACCTTGTTGAGTTCCCTATAATCAATACATAGCCGAAGTCTTCCGTCCTTCTTTTTTACAAATAAAACTGGCGCACCCCAAGGAGATACACTCGGACGGATGAATCCCTTATCAAGCAAATCCTGTAACTGAATCTTTAATTCTTTCATTTCAACTGGCGATATCCTATACGGAGTCTTAGAAATGGGTTGAGTTCCTGGCGCCACGTCAATTATAAACTCAATTTCACGGTCTATCAACTGCCCCGGTAATTCTTCGGGAAAAACATCTGGAAATTCACGGACCACTAGAATCACGTCAATATTCTCATTCATAACTTGCCCCTCCAAAACACTGCATAAATACCCCTAACACCCTTTTTGAATTAATTTACAAGCCTTTGTTACAGAAATCACGTACAGTGGAGAAGTTACTTCCTATCCCTGAACAATAAACTTTGATTGTCCGGGAGGGTGAAAATTGATCTGCTTAGTCAAGCAGTTTATTGTTGCGTCATAATCACTCAGCCAATCCATTCCCAAAATAACATCAAAATAGGTCATGTCGAGAGGTAATAGATTAGCATACACTCGAATATCCCCAAGTTGGAGTTCACAAGCTAAGTATACAGAAGCATAGATCATAGAGTCTCCCAAAGGTGAAGACACACACAACATATAAGACAAGTTTTCTTCAGTTTTATCTAGATTAGGAGCAAATAGTTTCGACACAAAAGAGTGGGTGGAGCCAGAATCAAACAATACACGAGCAGAATGACCGTGAACAATAAATGTACCTGACACCACTGTTGTCGCATTTGGCACATTTCCCGGAACTAATGCGAACACCCCGCCTTACCTTGTAGGATCTTTATTGTTAGTGGGTTTAGCAGTTGTCTTCGTGTTGGGGGTTGGTGTAGACCCCGCAGAACTTGTAGCAGTCCTATTGCCATTTTGTTGAGTCCATTGCGGGCAATCCCTTACCAGATGACCCGTTTTGCCACACTTAAAACAAGCTCCAGTCTTCCAGTGTCAAGTCCCACGATGCTGTCTTCCACAGTCTGAACACACAAGTGCAGAGTTTTCTGCAGGGGTGGTGCTGTTGGAGTTCTCTGAATTATGCTTCTTATTTGGTAGAATAACTGATCCCTTTGACCATTGATTGTTTTGCCTTTTCCCTTTCCACTCGGAAATCCGATTCTGAGCGACAAGGTTTCCTTCTGCTATAACGGCCCTTTCTAACACATCGACATAAGTAGGTAACTTTAACATATTGACTCGGTCTAGGATAGCACCCCGTAATCCCCCTTCAAATTTCTGTGCCTTCTTATAATTCGTATCCACCATATGAGGCGCAAACCGAGCTAGTTCTGCAAATTGAGCTTCATATTCTGCAACGGTCATACTTCCTTGTCAAAGAGTTTCAAATTCAATCACTTTTTTATCTCGCATACTTTGGGGAAAGTACTTATCATAGAATAACTCCAAAAATCCATCCCATGTTAAGCCTTGATGCACAGTTCTCGTAAGCATCTACCATCTTCGCGCCTCATCTTCAAGAGTGAAGGCGGCAAGTTGCATTTTTTGGACTTCGATACAAGGAAATACTTCAAACAGTTTCTCTATTCCCAGCACCCATGCTTTAACTTTCATTGGTTCTATTCCTCTCTTGAATGACGGCGGTTTCATCTTTTTAAACTCCTTTGTGAGTGCAATGGTTCGGTCCTCAGCATGAAAATCTTGTACTACAGGTGGAGGTACCGGTCGCGGTGGCGGTGGCGGTGGCGGTGGTGGTTGTGGTTGTTGTTGCCGCAAAGTTTCTGCCATTTCCATAATCATTCTTTCCATTCTCTCCAACCTTGCTAAAGTGGCATCTTCCGAGTATTCTATCCTTGTTCTCACCATAATCTACACAACAATCAATTATATACCATAGACATAATTCAAAATTGTTAGTATTAACAGAGTACGCTTAACATTGCCATCAATTTTTCATATACTTTCAGGATGTCATGCATGATGCCTACTATTTTCTAGACATCCTAAAGCTCAACGGATTCGTGTGTGAGATAGCAACTTGTGCTCTGACACCACTTGTTACACCCCAAACCCGCCCCTAAAAGTTTGGACATGACCACTTCAGAAATGGACACTTAACCTGATATATAATATAGGGGCCTGAACGGAAGCATTGATATCATAAGATAATATATAAGAAAGTATGACATCCATTGAGCTACTATTACCATGCCAGGATCACATTGCAAAAAGGAGATACACATTAGAGAACTAGTTATAAGCATATACAGATCCAACCCCAAGGTTTGGGCGTATAACAAAACATTATGTACATTTTCTCCTAAGTCAATAGCTAGAATGCAAGCCATCATCTAGCAAAACACCACAAAAATGTATGGCTTCGACCCAGTGCCTGGCTATGCGTAGGCTGACAAAAGTGTGACGGTGATAGGGCTAGGAGCGACCCCCAGGTTGGTTACCAACAGAAACAGACAAAACATAGAGTGAGCCAGGCTCAGTGAACAATAGTACTTAAATGCTTCAATATTCAATTTAAATTGTAACACATTTAAAAGCGTAAGTATTGCAGAAATCATATAGTTAGTCTGATTCTGTACAAATTTGCAGAACGACCTTGTCAGTTCACAACCTCACAGATTGGCCCTTGGCCTAATGGGTTCACACATTCACAAATTGGCCCTTGGCCTCATGGATTCATAACTTGGATTCATAACTTCACAAAAATTGTTAGTATTAACAGAGTACGCTTAACGTTGCCATCAATTTTTCATATACTTTCAGGATGTCATGCATGATGCCTACTATTTTCTAGACATCCTAAAGCTCAACGGATTCGTATGTGAGATAGCAACTTGTGCTCTGACACCACTTGTTACACCCCAAACCCGCCCCTAAAAGTTTGGACATGACCACTTCAGAAATGGACACTTAACCTAATATATAATATAGGGGCCTGAACGGAAGCATTGATATCATAAGATAATATATAAGAAAGTATGACATCCATTGAGCTACTATTATCATGCCAGGATCACATTGCAAAAAGGAGATACACATTAGAGAACTAGTTATAAGCATATATAGATCCAGCCCCCAAGGTTGGGCGTATAACAAAACATTATGTACATTTTCTCCTAAGTCAATAGCTAGAATGCAAGCCATCATCTAGCAAAACACCACAAAAATGTATGGCTTCGACCCAGTGCCTGGCTATGCGTAGGCTGACAAAAGTGTGACGGTGATAGGGCTAGGAGCGACCCCCAGGTTGGTTACCAACAGAAACAGACAAAACATAGAGTGAGCCAGGCTCAGTGAACAATAGTACTTAAATGCTTCAATATTCAATTTAAATTGTAACACATTTAAAAGCGTAAGTATTGCAGAAATCATATAGTTAGTCTGATTCTGTACAAATTTGCAGAACGACCTTGTCAGTTCACAACCTCACAGATTGGCCCTTGGCCTAATGGGTTCACACATTCACAAATTGGCCCTTGGCCTCATGGATTCATAACTTGGATTCATAACTTCACAAGTTGGCCCTCGGCCTCATAGATTCATATTTCACAAGTTGGCCCTCGACCTCATAGATTCATATTTCACAAGTTCTTTTGTTGTTTCCATAATTTCACATTGTTTCTCAATTCCATAATGTCACACCGTTTCTCGAGTAGCACACATGTTAACATAAGTTCTTGCGAAGAACATAACGTCAATAACAATAATAATTAACATGATTAAGAGACATCGATAGTACTATTACTCACTGTGTTGCTGCGGGGCACTAGTTCCTCCCGAAGCGTGTCCTGCACACATTCACAACTTGAAAGTTAGTTAATTCTTCTTTGTTGAGTTAGTTCCTGATGCATTCCACTTCAAACGAATTTACAAACATCAGTAGGCACAAAATACAATTTCTAAAAATATCCGAGGGTCGAGCACGCAAAATGGAGCGAACCATTTTTTACAGCTTGGGTCGCACGTGCGGCTGTGAGCCCCGCACGTGCGGCAACGGGTCCCGCACGTGCGGCAGTGACGCCCTGCACGTGCCTTTTTAGCAGTGTTCAAGCCCAAAATTTGCACAAATTCCCGCACGTGCGGCCATGACTCCTGCTCGTGCGGCCAAGCTTCCCGCACGTGCGGCCATGACCCCCACACGTGCAGTGATTCTAGGTAATTTCTGTTCGAAATTCACTAAACACCCTCCCTGATACATTTATGGTAAGGCACAAGTAAGCAAATTTGGTGCATTATAATGGTTCAATAACACCATAACATGCATCAAGAATGTAATTAAGATCATCACTTCCAATTTCACATGCACAACCCATTCTTTCCATATATTTGATCTTAACTATTTACTTAGATATATAAATCATCATCTAGGTGTGTAAATAACTTCCACACAACAAGAAACTCAAGAGAAAAGAACAATAACACAAACTTGGAATTTCCAATACAACCACAAACACAATTAGATAAGAGGATATATATACACTCTTGATCTCCATTATAACTTCAACTTGAATATTATAGAGAATCTTTCAATAAATTTCCAAGAAGCTTAGCAAAACAAAAAATACATACCTTGAACTTCAAATCTCAATAGGTCCTCTTAATTCACCCAATCTTCCACTCTTGCTAGGTTTCTCTCCTACCTTTCTACCTCTCCTCTTCCAATTTCCATACAAAAGATACTTAGATTCTTTTTTCCATCTTTTTGATCGAGAGGCATATATATGTATATATATATATATATATAATATAAAAGAAAATTACATAGGACAAAAATCAATCGTTTAATCATCCTAAATTGAAATTTCACAGAAATGCTCATTATTACTTAAAATTATGCTAATTCCAATTGTATAATCAATTTTGGATTATCAAATCTCTAAGGCTCTCAATTTCTGAGTCAAACATTCCAATTGTGACGGATCTTTTCCTTCCTAGACAGATAGGCTCAATTCATAAGTGTCATGTACTTCCACTTAATTTCTCATGAAATTTTTCATTAAGGATTAAAATGAACAGAATAAGAGACTAAAAATATACCAGAATCACATACGAGGGTCGGGTTATTACAGATCAGATTGACCATCAAGTCACTCAGGTCTACCATCACTACTTCCCTCAACCTCCAACTCCACCTCCACCACCACCTAACAATGACGCTTACCTTGTTTGGATGAGTGATTAAATGGTTGACGCATGTTGTGGTTTTTAGTTGTATTGCAGATGTACTAGTACTTTCTGTTCTTATTTGTTTGTTTCCTTTTTTTTTTCTTTCTAAATTTTTTGGTTCATGGATGTAAGCACCATTTCTTTTTGTAATTTTTGTGTTTTTTTTTTGGGTATAATTTACTGCTGTCTGTTTTTTATTTTATTTTATAAATGATACATCTATCTGTTTATTTATTTGTTTTTAAAATTACTATCCATTGGGCTATGAAGCATGGTGTAAGAGTATCATCCTTAAAATTGTAAGTTGTACTGGTGCAATTGCAATTGTTTTTTTATTTATGAAATATCAAATATAAATATTATTTTGTTGGACCGATAACAAAAAAATAAAAAGAAAGAAAAAAAAAATTCTAATTAAATTTTGGTAGTGTTATAATACATTATGAAAGATGAGTTAAAAATGATTGTTGCCAAATTTTAAATTTGATATGAAAGATAACATACTATTGTTATTTTCTATGAAAGGTAAAATTAATCCACCGTTACCAACTTTGAAGAATTGACAAAAGTACATAAATTGAAGGATCACAAATTTAAAATTTTTTTTTCTACGTCCAATTGCTAATTGGATAACACTTTAAGAGCGTAAAGTGTAATTTATCTTTAAAATAACATTAAGTCGAAAAATAGAATTAGAATATATTGATGCTGTGGATTTATACATTTTTTACAAGTATGCAACTATTATGATTCCGCAACTTCGTATTTATAAAAGTTCTATTTTATTTGTCCTAATATGATTAGAAAAATGTTCAACAATTCCTTACTTTTTTCTTTTTCTTTTTAATTAATAGTACTATTTAAAATTCATCTTTTTTTTTTTTGGACAATATTATTGCATTCATACAATCTCAACAATCATAACCAAACTTTTTTTAAGATTCAATTCAAAAATTAATTATTAACAACAAAAAAGAAAAAAACACTGTTCACTACAACAAAAATGGTCTATGGTAACGAAAACGCATGATGAAAAAATATTTTGTCTCCAAATATACATGTTTTAGTGATGAAAATAAGATTTCGTCTCCAATTGTACTAATTGTAGAGACGAAACAAAATTTCGTCACCAAATGCTTACAATAAATAAAATAATAGGTGACGAAATTTTTTTTCATCTC